AGAGATTTATTACCAATTATTAATATGATTAAGTAATGACACAAAATTATTGTTTCTGGTTTTAGGGATTGCAATGGATAGTAAATAAATGAATATCCTTTATTATCCATTTATTTCGGATTTGGATAGTTATAAATGGATTATTAATGAATTCAAATTCGAATGAAAAATTTACTATTCGTTCAAAATAGATACAAATAGTATCTTCTAAATATTTAATATTTAAATTTATTTAAATTTTAATAAATAGTTATAAACATTTGAATCCGTATCCGAATCTATTATTTATTTATATACGTAAACTATATAAAATTTTGTACTTATAAAAGGTTTCAGATTTAAAAAAATAATTTTTATTTATTATTAATTAAGAGTGAATAAAATTTTAAATTTGATTATTATTTATTTTATATTGTGATAAAAATTTAAACAAATGAATATTTTAACGGATTTATATATTTAAATGAATAGTACTTATTTAAACATATTCAAATTTAGATAGTAATATTAAATTCAAATAAATATTTAAAAAAATTCAAATATTATAAATATTAAATAAATTTAAATACAAATATTTAAAAAAATAATGAATATCCGCTCTATTACAATTTCTAATTGGTTTTAGGTTTACGGTGAAGGCTAGCCCACTCCTCCCATCTTTCTCTTGCAAAAAGGGTAATGTAAGTGATTGTTGGGCCGGTGCTTAAAAGCCCCAACATAAGAGTATGCAGATTGGATCCTCTGAATTGGACTCACAAATTGGTGCAAATGAAATAAGACCCAATCACACTTGTTTGTCTACTTCCGCCTGTTTCGTTACTCTTTCCGGTCCTAGATCGCTTGTTTAGCTTCACCACCGCTCGACCGTTGCGGTTCCCGTAAGCCTCGTTTCTCCGGTTCCCTGTAACTGCAATCCTTCGCCTCAACTTTTCATTTTTCCCCTCTTAAGTCATTTCTTAATTGATCGTTGCTTGTACATGAAGGAAGAAAATGGACACATTGAATTGCTGATGAATTATTGTTTTATGGTTATCATTTTCATGTTGGTATTCTGCTAAATTATGAAACTTTTATGTATTTTTCTCTAAAAGAAACCTTTTGTTGATTGATGGTGTGGGGGTTGGGTAAGGGGTGAATTACGTTTCATTTTTGTTAAGTGAAACTTTATTCAGGTGTCTCACATTTTTGTGTTAGTCCTTTCTTTTCCTGTACTGGTTTGGTAATTATTAGTGCTGATGGCTTGTTGAAGTTTTAGGTCTAGAATGGGAGATGATTAGGACAGATAATGACTGCTGATAAATGGTGTAGTTTAATATGATAGTGAGGTCGGTGGTCCATAAGCATATACCTTGGTTGGAAAGATGAGGTTTTGAGGAAAAAAAAATAATAGTACACAATGGGTGTGACCAGCCTGTGGCCATTAGATGGCCTTGGTAGATCTTGATTGGGACTTGCTTTTGGACTGTATATATAGTCTTTCTCTTGGTCATTACAACATTGTAAAGCTAGTAGAAGATAAATTCTTTTCCTAATTTGTCAGGTTCTCATACATGTGATTTGATCTTGATCCACTTCTGAAAGATATGATGGGTTGCTACTAAGATAACTAGTCAAGAAGATTTAGGCGTCCTTCGTTACTTCACATATTTTGAGAGTAGATCTGGTGAATTAGGCTCTTGTTTTGTTTTCTAAGTTCACTGTGAACTAATTGTTTTAGCTTTTCAAACACAAATATAACCATGCGATTCCCCTCTTTTTCCTATATCAGATTGTTATTTTTGTACTACATTAGATCTTTTCAAAGTGCCAAAGTGACACTTTTATACCGATATTTGAAGAATTGAAAGACTGCAGTTTTACATTAGAACAATGATGTTTATGGCTTCTTTCCATTTGTTTAGTTTGTCCATGAGTAAATTTTACCTCCATGTTAGTGGTCTGATTTTTCCATTCTTCTAACAGGAAAACAAATAATCAAATGTTTCTTTTAATTGGTCTGATAGAGTCTCCATTCCCTTTTAACTGTGTTAGTCATTCTCCTTTTATCGGATTTCTGAGTTAACCAAGAGGAAACAGGTTACCACGTTCTCTGTCTGTAACTCTGTGCTTGTGCATGTAGAAAGGAGGGAAGGGAGAGTGGGTGGAAAGAGTCTTTTGAAGATACCACTTGTTTTCCCATTTAAAGAGTGAACAGATTTGTTTTATTCTTCTTGTTCTTTTTTTGCTAATATGAATGCTCTGTCTGCAATGTATCTACTGGCCTTTGTAGTGGAAAGAAGTAATAATTTTTTAATAAGAGTCTGGTAAGAATCAAAATTTTTCTGAGACTTTTTATATGCTAGGAAATTAAGATTTTTAACATGACTTGCATAAATTCAACCAATTTGACTATTGCTGTTCTAAGCGGCATCTCTGCTATGATTGGTGTTACATGATGCCTAAGTTGTGTGATATTTAATCATGTATCAATTACACATTTCATCTTCATAGGTCTTTTATGTAAGAATGTCATTTAACATCTGCTATATCTCTTGAAAATGGAGCTGAAAAACTTGAATTACTCATGTGAAAAGTGTCAAATTTTTAAAAACATGGACCATATACTGAATGGTTTATTCTTGTTGCATACTTGACTTGTTACTATCTCTTATTGCAAATGGTATAGTTCTTTTGATTGGACTGAAAGCTTATGAAACATGACATCTCTGTTTGATTCCATTTGCCTTTTGGTATATATGCATGCCCATGTGGACATGGTTTCTGTCATTTTCTTGAGAATGACCTCTACTGTAAATTTTCATATTTTGCTAGATTGCCATCTTGTTGCCGTCACTGAATGCCTCATTGCAACTAATCAATGCTGCAGCATTTCATATTTTCATTGCAAAGAAGAGGCAAATATACTATTATGCCTCGTGCATTTCAGGTGAAAGAAAATGTTTTGTACCTATCAATAGAACATAACAAGCTTTGATAATGAAGAGCTGTCTTACGCTGCAAGTGGGGTGGAACAATTTTAATTTTCCTCTTGTAATGTGTCTCATTAACTTGTGTCTATCAACATTGCAAATTCTGTAAAACTATTAATTTTATAGTCAATTGGTGTAATGCTATTGGACCGACATCATATTTTTTTCCCTTTTCCACACATGATACCTAACTTACAGCTGAGATTTTTCTGATGTCAATTGCAAAACTTTGTTGAAGCTAAAATCATCATATAGACTACCGGGTATTTTCTGTATATCATGATATCATACAGGAGAAGAATTGTCCGTATGATGTGCACTTTTGTTGGTGGGGATGCACTATCCTGCTTTTGGTTCATTGGTGATTAATTTCAAAAGGGGTCTCCACTTCTTCGGGATTTCGGTGGTGATTGGTAGCATTTGAAGTTGGTTTTGTTCGAGGATGACAACCTGGTTCTGTTGGCTTCATGAAGGGATGTCAATTGATAGGGTAGGGTATTTTCTATCATCGGCTTGAGATTTTTATATTATATATATTTTTGTATTTATATCTAACAGATATTTTAATTTTAATTTTAATTTTATTTTTACGAATATTTAATGGGTATGAGTAATTTTCATATCTTTAATTTTTAAAAAATAAAAATAAAAATTTATTTTTTAATTTTTTATATATATTTATGTAATTTTTTTTATAAATATATTATTATATAAATTTTTAAGAAAAATATATTAATTTCAATTAATCTAAAATAATAATTTATATTATTTAAAAAATAACCTATTTACTAAATATTTATAAATATATATAAGATATGGGAATGAGATGAGTAATATATTATTTATTTTCATTTTCATTTTTAATAAAAATTTAAAATTTTATTTATTTTCATATTTATAATATAATATTCATTTTCATTCTTATTCAAATAAAATATTAAATTTTCTGTTAAATATGAATAAGATCAACATCTTTTAACTTGGTACGTTTGCCTTTCCTGCCTTTAGTTTAAGAGCAATTCCTTGAGCAATATATTAGTGGGTCGATCGATCTACAGGCGCTTTTCTAACTTACAATCAAACAATTCAATCAACAACATCAGTAATTTGCCGCCCAGTGGACTGCAAAAGTTAAAAATATCGATTTCTTCCAAGTTCTTCTATGACAGGCATTGACAGACCTGTTGCTGGCTAATTGATTTTTCCTGTCTTGAGGCTCCCATATGTTATTGGATGGGAAAAGAAGCTTAAAATATTCACCTTAATCAATGTTAATAGGCAAATGGTTAACGTTTTTCATACAATTTGGCTTTATTAAACGATTTGTCCTTTTCCTTTTTCATTCTAAAGTCAAATTTCTGATTGGATAACAGTTGGAACAAAGAACAGCAGCGGCATATTTCACAACTAAAAACCAGGTAGAAAATCAACCCTCCACCGCATTTAAAGCAAAAAAAAGGTTTTCTTCCATGTCTGGTCCTCATTAATACACACCAAAATCCAGGTCACACAAGTTAAGTGCATTGCCTCCTCTATACGCGTACGACAAACAAACAAATAAGAAAAAAAAAAAAAGCACAACTTACGTTAATTAAGTATATTATGTATATAGAAAAGATAAAGAAAGAAACAGAAAAACCCATTCACCGCACACCTTTCATCACATATCAACATCCACCAAACAAACCCTTTTGCAAGCTACCACCATTAATGACGGTGACAACCATCCTCTGCTCATACAAAGGACCACTCTTTTTTTTTTTTTTGGTGGGGCGCTTCTCTCTAATTTGGCTGTGTTTGGTGGTGTATACAAAGCAAAGTCATAAGTATGGATTTGGTTCTCTCAAGTGTCTCACCCTCATCTCCTTATCTACCTCGTTTGGTTCTAGCAACTAAAATATGCAGACACAAGGTGGTAGGCCATCGCCCTCGTTTTTCTTTTCCATATCTATCCTCTAATCTTAACTTTCATCGAATTTCCCTAACTTTTTTTCATCACAAATACAGATATAATTAAATAAAAGGAAATTATAGTAAAAAATAACGTAAACAAAAAACAAACCTTGTATTCCCAAAGTAAAACATAACCTTATCGAACAGAATCAATCCATTTTTTTTTATTGATTCTATTCTTTGGCAGTTGATATTTGATGAGAATCAAAAGACATAAGAAAAAAAAAAGGGCGGTGCCTATGAACAGTTGTTGATTTTTGTTTTCATTTTTTGGGTTATGATCGTCACTTTTGTATCGTTTCAATCTTCTTCGGAGCTTTCGGGATACTTGTTCAAATCAGGCTTCAGGAAAACTCGACTATGGTTTGATGATTTTGATGATGAAGCGTGATGAAGCGAGGTTTGTAAAGCGTCGACTTTAGCCCCCACCTCGGTTGCTTTCTTGCGTATGGAAGCGGGTGAGATATCCCTAATGTCATCTTCTTGTAATATGAGGTCAGGGAAGTTGAGCCTAGCGGAAGGCCCACGCAAGTAGAAAACTGCGGTGTCATAGGCACGAGCAGCTGCTATAGGAGTGGTGTAAGAGCCGAGCCAAATCCTAGATCTCTTGTTTGGTTCTCTGATTTCAGCCACCCACTTGCCCCACTTCCTCATCCTTATCCCTCTGAATGGCTTCTCTTTTTGCTGTTGCCTTTGCTTCCTCTTCTCTCCGCTTGTTGAACTTGAACTTGAACAACAATCACCTTCCATGACAGAACAAAAAAAAAAAAACCCTAAACCCTCAACAAGTATCCTAACGGAAAAAAAAAACTAATCCCTTTGCTTCAAAAGCTATTCTCTATTATATATAAATAGAAGAGGATACTACATGAGAAAAGAGAGGGGGAAAGGGCATGCAGAGGAAAGAAGTATTAGTTTCCCACTTGGCTGCTAGTCGATCGTCTGGGCACGGCCGCCACGTTGATGTTCATTAAAATAAATCCAAATGTGGCCGACATAATCCATCAGCCCCATCTGATCTTTCTTTCTATTCTATATATCAGCAGCCTACAAAAATTATACACGAGCACACCCAAAACTGTTATTCTCTTGGTGAGTATGAAAGGGTATTTGGTAATTTAACCAAACCAAATATATTAAAAAAAAAAAAAAAAAACTAACGTAGCTGCTTGTTAGCATATGAGCGCCGACGTGTTTCTGCTCCCAGCACGCAAACTTCCTGGATTATTTCTAAGTTTTTTTTTTGTCTTTTTCTTTTTTTTTTTTTTTTCCGAATATACTCTAAATCAGCAAATCATTCCCAAATTAAAATTCTTATCAAATGATTTTATATCATTAACAAGTTGGCATTGTCGTAATTAGAAGTATTGCTTACAAGTTAATTTTACCTTAATTTCACCGGGTTTGAGCTATGTCATGTGTATTAATTTATTCGAGAACACATCACACATTTAAATTGACTTTTTTTTACTTCAAATGTAAATCTTAATCATCAAATTATAAGTAAAAATTTTTTTAGAAAAGAGATTATAACTTACTTGAAGACAGAGAAAGTAATCTAATTATAAGCTTTAATTTTTTTTTTTTTATAAAAAAGATTATATAACTTACTTGAAAATAAAGAAAATAATTGTAAATATTAAAATTTAAATTTAAAATTTATTAAATATCATCTTTTAAAAATAATTATATTAATTAATTAAATTAAATTATGAATTTAAATTACTACTGTTCCACATTTCTAAGGACTTAACCATGATTTTCCGTCACTTTGATTATTGACTATTAAAACCAAACTATGCATTAAAGGGTTATACAAATAAATCTTTTAAAGGCTTTTGGATGAAAATTCAAACCTTCTTTTGAATTATTACAAAATAATATATATAGCATAAAACTAAGGGTAGAATTTTCTGCAAGGTGAAAATGTCAGGAGTAGGCACCGTTAGCTTCTTCCACTTGGTCTTCTACTGCCCTTGTCGCCGTTGAATCTAATTACCTAATCAAAGGGTGCTGCCGCATTCTTTAATTAGATTTTCCAAAGTCAGGATTAATTTTACGATCTTTAATTATAAAACATATATTTTTTTCAATCAAAATTTTTTGGTAATAAAATGGATATGCGGCTCAACAACTAAACAACATGAATGGCTTGACCGCCTACTTTCTTCAATTATTGGGTGGATAAAACAGTTTGATGATCTTCAGTGACCTGTTTTTTCATCATTATCTTATAATAAAACACAAGTGATCTGTTGAAAATTATTAGTATTTTGTATATCAACAACTCTAGCCCTTTCATTCATCTCATATTCCTTTTTTTTTTTTTCTTTTTTTTTCACTCTTATCTCCTTCAATCTTAACATTCTGTAAGTCATAAAATGAAAAACATCGATAAGACTGAAAATAAATCGAAAAAATATATATCTGTAATTCATTTTTTTATTTTTAAAAATATTTATGTTCCATTTGTATTCATTAAAAAAATTATTTTATTCGTTCAAATTCATTCGTTTAAATAATAAATTATTTATATTCAATTTGTATTCGTTCAATTAAATTAAACGAATTTATTCGTAAATATTAAATGAATATATCCACAAACATATATAATCAAACATATTCATGAATAATAAATAAATTATAATCAAACAAATGAATCTTAAATAAACATAAACGAATCTTAATAAATATAAATAAATCTTAAAATACGATAAAGTAAAAAATAAAAATGTAATTTTATTAGTATTATTATAAACAAACAACAAATGAATATTAAACAAACAAATTTCAAACAAATTTTAAACAAACTTGTTCACAAAAATAAACAAACAAAACAAATCTTTATTCGTGTTCAATTCATTTAATAATAAATATAAAAATGTTGATCAAAATCGTTAGTTAAACTTAACAAACAAACATAAACAAATAAAAATCGAACATATTTACAAATAGTTCGTCGAAAATTTTATTCGTTTATACCCCTAGGCATAGGTCTTTGTCACCTGCTGACCTCATACCAAAACCTGATAAACGACCTCAACCTGTCATTTGGAAATTAAAAAGGGAAAAAAAAAATAATAGTAGTAGTAACATATTCAACAAGACAGATGACCTTTTTTTCTTTAATCTAGCGAGGAGTAGGATAACCATTAAACTCAATCTTTAGGTATAGATCCAAACCTTATCCTAAAATTCTTTCTGATATTAAAAAACCAGTCTAAGAGCTGCTACTTTTTGATTCTGATATATAGTGCAGTACCCTTTATTCAGATAGGACATCCTTAATCTCTAAACATAACCAAAGATCAATGACAGAATAATTCAGCCTGACTGCCCCATGACTCATGCTCGAAGGCAAATCTTGAATGCATAGTTTTTCAATTGGTTAGTTGATCAGTGCAAATCTGAGGCCTCATCTATAGAAGATTCCATGACAATGTCCCACTATGCTATGAAATTATGCAAGCATGATTGAGCACTAGACCAATTATTAAGCATGATAACCCTTCAAAGCTGATTGATATGGAACAGTAAATCCTATTGATGCCGATAACAAAGCCATCAAATCAAGATTAAATATAAAACATTCTAATCTTTATTTATTAAAGGTCCAAATTCTTCTCAAAATTTATCATCATTATCATCTTAATCGGTTCAAGAATAGTGTCTAGACCTAATTTTGTTACTTCGACAAAATAACTACCAATTTCTTTTCAAGTTGTGGCAACATCCCTTTATCCTTGTCCTAAATCACCTATGATTGGAGGAACTTCACTGAATCATTGGACATGACCCTAATATCATCAATTAAAAGGCTGAAAGGTCATGATCCACTAAACCTGGGAAAGGACCTCTGCTGGTCAGGGGCCATGAACTCCTGCAATTAGTGCAGCAAAAGGAATTATGAGCAATCAACTCGTCCAGGATCAATACAGACAACAGCCTTTAAAGGCCACCAGATATTTCTGAAACTCCATGACATTGAACTGAGACGAGGGAGGTTATGACAATCAAAGCGACAATCAAAGCACAATAGTAAAACAATTAAATATTTCTAACTAACATGTCTGCCCATTTCCTTTGTTCTTCTATCTCCAAAATGACACAGTAAAAGCTTTTCATCCCATTAATTCCCTTCTCGTTTCCTCATTTGCTCCTTCTTGTAAATCGAATTTCAGGAGAAATTTATCACAAAACCTTCTATTTATGCAACACTCCACAACCCCTGTTTTCAGTATCGCATCTTAATGCACACTAACAGAATTGTAGTCGACAGAGACTAAGGAGAAGCAATCATTCCCCTCCAATAACAAGCAAGAGACAAATCAATCAAGAATCAGCATCCTCTTATTCTCAAATTCTCTGTTTTTTGTTTTTTACACCTTTTAGTACTGATTATTCTTCTTCTCATACCCAAACAAACTCCAAGCTATAACTTAAAGGATTTTAAATTTTTCTATTTCAACTTTGAAGTTACCACCCAAACATTTGGATTGGACAAAAAAGACCACACATGAAACCAGCAATTAGGCAACATCATTTGGGTATCACCCACGGGAATAGTTCATCAACATAGCAAGGCAACAGAAACTTGATCTGATTAACCAAGACAAACACTAATCTAAAGTGACAGCAAAAAGTATGATTTATTAGTACAAGGTAGATAGATAATTAGAAGTTTTACACATAAAAATCCAAACAATTAAAATGAAAATAAGTAAGCAACCATGTTCCACCACTGTCCACTGATCAAGTTCGAGACACACAAACACAAAGCAGCTTGTGTACCAAAATAGATGAGGCACATAGCAAATTGGTGTTGAACCAGAAAATGATTCTAAATGCATAGCAATGCTGCAGTTTCCCTCTTGTTAATACCTATATAACATTTCAATTTTCAAGCTATCACTAGTAAACTCTACACCATCGAAAGAAAATAACATAGAGACAATATGAGGCAGATATTTACCACTAGCAAATCTGAAGACAATGGAGAACCACAATCAGCAAATGCCACCATTAGGATTTTTAACTCTTATCAAACAAGCAGCAAAGTCACTGATAATATAAATTACAATCTCTTTCCCATTCTTCCCTGTATAAGTTCCAATTCCTGATTTCCATAATCATATAAGTTCCTCATATAAGTTAAAATTCCGGACTGTCATAACTAACCAAACTTTACTCATCAATAATATCCATCTTCCTCAAAAAACACCTCATCCTCACTATCATCCAAAAAGTAATTTACATCACCAACTCCCTCAATCTCCCATTCATCCTCATCTTCCTCCCCTTCCGAAAACAATGAAATCCTCACACCACCAAACTCAGTCCTTTCTACCACAAGGTCATTCACCACCCCATCCAATTCCCCCACACTCCCACCATCAAATTCTGAAACCGAAAACAACCCATCATCCTCACTCCTCTTCCTCCTCCTTTTAGGCACCAAATCTTTCTCTGTAACCTCCCCATTTTCCACCCCAATCCAAGACACCCATAAATCGGCATGTCTTCCCAAAGCCCTGTTCCAATCCCCTACAACCACAGTCCCCAAATTCGCCTCCTTTGCCCTCTTGAGCATGTCCACAAAATCCTTGTCATCCGAAACCAAAAATAACCAATCAATCCCTCTACTCATGGAATGCTGCATTTGTCTTTTCAATGCCCAATCCGCCGCTTGGGGCTTATCCTCCACTGTCTTAACATAAACCCCAGCTCTCCTTAGCTCTCTCGCCAAACCATACCCAACCTTCGGCGTAACCAAACTCCTCGCCGCTTCGTTATACTTATGATTCCCACTTATATACCTTTCCTTAAACCGCTGTCGTTTCTTTCCTTTCAATGATTTCATTCTGTTTAACTTCTTTTGTCGCTCCCTTTCATGTAACTGCTTGAAATGTTTCTTCAAGTCCAAATTTGTCTTGCATTTCCGACCGCAAACTCCACAAATGTAAAGTTCGGATGGAGTTACGATTCCTTTGCGTTCGAGGATGTCGAGGCTTTTCCTCTCGCGTCGTTCTTGTAAGACCCACGGAGGCAAATGGATGAACGCGTGACGGTTAGCGTATGCTGACATGTCAACGACTTCCCCGAAATTTTCAGCCATTTTTTTCAAGGCCAACGCCGCCTCGTATGGCGGTCCGCGCGGTGGTTTATTGTCGAGGTCCCACAAGATAACCACTTTTTCCTGTTTGGGAGCGTAAACGCCTTGCTTGTTCCTTACCAGGTCGATTTCCACGGCGTTGGCGTTGGATTTGACGGTGAGATGGCATTTGCGTGGTGGGTATTTGGTTTTGAAGGGTGTGGTGAAAGTGGGTGAGAGTGAGTGGGAAAAGAAGAGGTCTGGTTTGGAGTGGATAGGGGAGGGCTGTAGGTAAAGGGATTTTAAGGAGTTGCAGAGAGGATTCATTATCGTGCTGAAGCTAGTTATCCAAAGCTTAAGTTCTAAATATCAACAGCCGGCGAGCTATGGGCCATTTACTAGACCTGTTAAGTCGGGCTTTTTCAGAAATTGCAGATCCATAAATGATAGTTTATGGGCCTATTGCATGGTTTTTCTTTATGATGGAAACGGTAGATATGGGCCTACGTATTTGTAAAAGCGTGTTTATGTTATGCATTGGGGCCTTCGATTTTTCTATATTGAGGGGAAAAAAGAAAAAAGGAAAGAAACCAATCAAATTGGATAAACATGTAGATTTTCGAAATTCTAGCCAGAAGAATGTTGGATTTTGTGGTGGTGCAAATTTCTACGCCGGGACATGCTACTTTTGTTTTCTCAGGTCCCAGGTTTATCGCCAAGCAACTCTACAGCCAATCATTCCTAGTGTGCGTGACTGTCTGCAACAACATGGACAAATAAGATAAAAAAAAGCTCTTACTTCAATGGTTTTGCCTGGTGCCTGGTGATCCTGCCAAAGAAAATGGTTCTATTTGCAGTTGATAATCACCATGCTGGCTTTTCATTTTCTTTGTCCCTTTCTTTCCCTTTTTCTTGTCAACTTTGATAAAAAAATAAAAGCCCTTTGTCATTAACAAGGCTATGGAGGGGATAGAAAGGAAAACTGTTTGATAATTGACTTCATCAATGGTCTATTTCTTGCTTTTAGCTTCTCACTATTACTTTTCCAATGCATTTTTTTTTCTAAATAAGACATGGCACCCTCCTTTTTGTTCCGCATTTTGGAAAACAAAGTGTTTCTCAAAATCTTTATGGTTTCTCTTTAAGATCCCCCCCCCCCCCCGGTCCCCCCGAATTATGGCAATTATCTTTGGAATTATGATCCATTCTTTTTGTCAACTATTACCAAACAGTATGATTATTAAACTGATGATTGCTTTTATGTTTTATTATGATACAGGGGATGACTGAGGAAGCATCAAGTAACCAAACTTTAGTGGGGCTTCTGAAGTTGAATTATTGGTTTTAATTCACTTCTGTTTTGAGTGGTCATAAGATTGTCAGCCATTGTAAAGTGTAGCAGGACTTGAATTCCAATCTCAACATGTACAACATTTTCTCTATATCAGGATGAGATCTCGTTCATAAAAAAGTGCTTAGTGCTTGAATAACATTAATGAAATTATATTTTTGTTTGATTATATTAAAATAGGATAACTATAAAAGGTCAACGTAGTTTTTTTTTCTTTTCGTTTAAAAATAAGAAAAACAGTTGCTATTTTGATGATTTTTCAGGAATATAGAGGCCTCTCATTACTTTGCAGATGAAACATAATTTGTCTGGCAAAATGACAGGGAAAGCATACAAATCACAATCCCTTAAGACTTTATTGCCAATATTTAAATAAATACAGGGCACTAGAGTGACATCTAAGATGCCTAAAGCAAATCACTACCTTAAAAAAAAAAAAAAAAAAAAGGCTGAATCTCTAATAGAAATCTTATACAAAAATCTGAAGTTCCCACTATGGGAGTCAGCCAACACAACACAAGCAGTGTCCCCCCCCCCAATTATATCCAGGAATATGTAGCCTTTTTCTTCCAGGGCTAGAGATCATGCCTAATGAGACAAATTTTCAATTAGGAAATGTCATGTATTTTTCTTCTCAACCAGAACGATGAAAGTCAATTAAACTATGTATTTCAGACACCCTTATTTAAATACATTGCATTCATCTGAATGTGGCACATTTTTAATGAATGTTCAATGTTCTAGCAATCTTCTTGCCATGGTCTCAAGAACCCTCTACAAACACGAAACGATTGCTTTTGCATAGAATTCCAAAACAGTAGATTCTACATGGGATTAATTGTAAGTCGACCAAAACCTACCAACATGTACTACAACAAAAATCATGTTCCCTATTTTCTTGGTCACTTTTCTCAACCTTTTTCTTTCACACTTTCCCACCCCCTTTGCTGGAGCCCCAAATGCTTAATTGTCTCCTATATGCAGATATCAAACAACAGACGGTGAAAACAAATGAGAGCATAGCACCTTCAACGAGAATTTGGACTTAAGGTTTTTCTAGAAGGGCTTACTGACAAGTTACAAATTTACAACTTAAAATTCTCTCTCTGCCCTTTGAAAACAAAAATGCAATGAATCAATAAATAAACGCGTGTTTTAATGAGGAAGGAGTGTCTGTCACACTAATTAAAGAATGGACCATAAATAAAGAAAACGTTAACGCCTAATCCCTCGAAATGGTTCCTCTCCTTCACTGCTTTACTGTTTTGCTTACACCAGTGCTTCTGCCTTTCTTGAACCAGTCTTAGTCCACGCTTGCCTTGCCCTTTTTTTTCTCTTCATAGTTTCTTTCATCTTCCTTCATTATCGTTTTCTTCACGAAATACATTTTCAGAAAAGAAAAGTGAAACTAGTGGAAATAAAAATCAAGAAGCCGTAGAGAGTTAAGCTATATAGTTTGAGAAAAGAGAGATGCTTGAATGGATATATGCGGTAGCGGCGACCATCGGAATTCTTGTGATCCTTTTTATTGTGTTTATATGTAGGTGGTGTTATCATAAAGACCGTAAAGATATAGTTGATGAGAACAGGGCTGCTAGGACTGAAAATTTTCAGGACGGGATTGTCAGACTTCAACAGGAGAGTCTACATCATCACCAGCTTGATTTAGATAACAAGAGAAGAGGAAATTACTATGTTTTTCGACGTGGGGTTTCAGCAAAACCGTTATTTAATTGGGCTGATCATCCATCTCTCATCACAGATGCAGTTGAAAATGGATGGTCTAGATTTGGCTTCACAGGCTACATGTCATCTCCGTCTACAAGATCAAGCCTGTTGGGGTTATGTGCCGCTGGTGATTTTGGAAGAGGAAATAATATAGAGATAAACTGGGAAGTAAGTCAGGGATCAGCAGATTTCATGCAAAAGATTAGGCTAAATTCTGGGTCTAAAAAGATATGGCGTCATCCTATGGCTGCAGCATCTGTTATTAGAACAGCTTTGCCTTTGCCAGGGCCTCCCTTGGGGAATTCTGCTTTCCCTCAGGAGGCCTATTTCGAGATCACCATTTTGTATTGCAGAGGAGATGATCGTGAGTCAAGTGACAAGCTGAAGGAAGGTGAGAGGACAAAATTGATCCAAGAAAATTCCAATCCAAAAGCAAATTCAGAATCTTTTGTCCATGTTACGATCAGCAGTCATGATATTAGCAAGATTGAGGAATTAAAGCTTGCAACTAAAGATGATGGAAAAGGTGAAGCAGTAATGTTATCAGTGGGACTAACTGCAGGAGGCTCTCTTCCTTCTAAGCTGCCTGGGAGCTATCCAGGATCCATCGGTTTCAATTCAGATGGTTCTGTCTATCTAGATGGTAACTAATTTTCATCATTTTTTTTTCTATAAAATCTCTAATTACCATTTCAGAAAATGAGCAACCCATTTTTTAGAAGTTAATGGAGATTAAACACACCCCATTTCTAGATGAAATAGTAGTTCAGAAGTTTGTCCTGTGTTTAGCAATACAAAAATTGGCTACCCGCCATTGAATGAGTCTCTCAACTAAAAGGTCTCCAAAATTAGATCCCCAAAATTAGCCTGACCCTGAAGTTTGAAAAGAAGGCCCATTGCCACATGGTCATGAATTATGTATAGAGAAGTATTATTTATTATTTAGGCTAAGACCACTTAATCAGTTAATCGTGTCACCCTTCACTGTATCATGAATTATGTATGCTTTAACTCATGCTTTATTCTATTCCAGGAATTAAACTTGTGTTTGAATCTGGGAAAGAAGACTGGGGGAAAACAGAGAAGGTGATAGGTTGCGGGTTCAATCCTAGGCAAAAGAAAGTGTTTTTCACATTAGACTCGGAGCTGATACATGTAATAAATTGCAAGTCTGAGGAATTTGGAACTCCTCTTTATCCAACTCTTGCAGCAAACGATGATGTTTTGGTTCTAGCTAATTTTGGACAAAGCGCATTTGCATATGCTCCAGCAAATGGACAACGGACACCAAATCCATGCTTCATTGCCCCTCTTGTAAATTCCCCTACTGCTGCTCTCGGCTATGAAGACAGCAAAGAGCTATTTTCAATGGGAAGAATTGATTCCCAATGGCTTAACAGGTGCACAACCAAAGGCAGCCACAACAATGGGACTAATTATCCAACAACAGAATTTGATGAGGAGTCTGAGGCTGATTTATTTGAAATCGTCTTGGATAATAATGGAAGATCCCCCAACTCAGTTTTTTAGCTACAAGACTGACAATGTTTTTGCAATGAGTATCTCCGAGTTGTCTTGATTTTGGCATTGAATGCAGTGTTTCATTTGAGAGTGCCATGGATTGGCCGTACATGGAGGAAGCATAGAGTTTCAGTAGAAGGTTGATAGATTTTACTTGAATAGTTGAACCTCTGCAATATTTAGCAGCTTGTTCATCATCAAAATACATAGACAGAAACAGGTTTTATGAGTAATTGGGATCTGAAATACTTGAATTCATTTTAAGCTTTTACATTTGTTCACCTAACCTTCTGCCTATGTAATTTACATTGTATAGTATAGAATTCAATAGCATTTATTCATTTTTGGATCTTTTTGCCCATATTTGACCCTCAAACTCAATCGTTTAACATTTCAAGTATCAAAATCAAGACCATCTCCATAAGAAAAAGCAAAAAAGAGCACAGGAAAAAAGGAATAAGGAAAGCAGAGAAATCCCCTGGGTGGGAAGTGGTAAAAAGATGAGATGCCAAATGCCAAACCTTACTCACCGTTAAATATTTGTCAATGGATTCAGCTAACCAAAACTAGTGCCGCGTCAAACTTTTGTTGGTGAAGGGATCGGATTTCAAGATCAGATGTTTCGGAATAAAATTTCTGGGATACTCCCAAGTCGTGTAATCATCAAGTTGAGAGAAAAGTCTGGACATCAAAACAGTCCACATCCAAGGTTGCTTGCTTGCTTGGAATAATGTCAGAACCCAACATTCAACCTAAGGCAGCTCCGTTGAAGAAAAATAAGAAAGAAAATGCCAGGGATACGTAGCACTTAGTCCCATTGAAAATGGACTCTAAGGCAGCCATGGGATTTAATCAACTAACAAATAAGTGCAATGGATGAGGATTTGGGGACTGTATGTGTTAATGATAACATGAGTAATCGTGTCAGATTTGGTGTTTAGCAGACCCTTAATCAGATTATGAATTGAAGTTAGGAAATTTGTAGTTGCGTTGACTTGAATATAATGTAAATAAACACTGACGGTCCTTCGAGGGACCTGAACAATGAGGCATTCTCAAGAAACAGAGAAACTTTTTTTGACCTGTAAAAGGCGAGAAGATTTTCCACCAAGAAAAAGGAGCAATAAGAAAAACGTGCAAATTGACATCAATTGTGCTTTTTTTTTCTTCTTTATATTTTCTTTCTTTGGTCAAGCTCAAGTTTTTTCACATTATCCGGTTCTAATTACTTGTTTTGCTCAAGTTTTCGCAGGTTAGCTTCCTGCCAGCAAACTCCAATAATCAAATACAAAGCTGAAAACGTTAGAGTTTTCCACAAGGTATGGCTCAGCATCAAAGTGAAAGAGTATTAAAGGAAAGAGATTATAGCCATGTAAATATTCGATAAAGACTTTGCACAAGACTTTGCTAATAGTAAACTTAGTAATTACCACGTTTTATTGATGTTTATACTTTATAAACAAACCAAAATACTACAACTAATACATTTCTCCAAAAAAAAAAAATCTACTAATATACTTGTTAAAACTATCAAACATCGGATCCTGTTGCGATTTGCTGTATCCTGGCATTTATGGCTGTTGTCTCAAAAACATTCAATGCCAGTCTGGTCTGGTGCTTTAACTCCTCATCCTGCAGTGTTTCAAGTCTCAACCCGTCCAACCCCAATGGCCAAGAGTCCAAAACAAAGGATCCTTAGGCCTTTGAACTCATGGAGGAAAACTGGAAAAGTGAGTCAATGAACTAGCGTTACCCGAGAGGAATATGGGACCGCATGGGAAATTGACCCAACTCCAAGGCAAGTTCATGATGGGGAGAGTCTGCCAATCCAATATAGTAGGACACCCGGGAGCCATATTTACAATTGGAAATAAGGTGGTTTCAAAGATTTTGGCACATTGTTTTACATTCTTTCAAAAATTTAAAAGTTTAATGTATATTATTTTTATTTTTAATTATTTTAATCCCAGTCCTTATAAGGCCTTTAAGCCTGATCACCTGTAATTGTTTTGCACGCCATTATTATCCAGGCCTAACAGACCAACCTATTTCTCCATCTTTATTTCTTTTCCCTCCATTGGTTTCCTTCCCAAAAAACAATAATTAATAAACCTGTACTGTATCCTTTCTAGTGGTTTATTTTTTCTTTCATAATTGGCAGAGAAAAGAAAGCAAAAAGTTTGGTGTTAATAGATAAGCATGGCCTTTTCTACTAGACATGTCAAAATCTGTCTCTCAATTAAATCATGGTACTAACATTTTTATTAGTTTTCAATGGAAAATTGTTTAGTTGAACCCAACTCATTTTCTACCAAAGGACAAAAAACTCACAGATCAATGGAAACGATAGAAACAAAATAGCATGGCCCTCAATTTGGCTGGAAAATGTGTCTATTTTGTAAAGATTCTTGGCAGAGTAGAGCCAATCATCAATGCATTTGATTGTGATTTATAACTACAAATTAACAAAGTTTTATATTTGATATTGGTGTATAATAAATCAGATAATATCATTTTATTAATGAATAAATATCTATTCTTAAAATAAATAAACAAAAATAATATTTTTTTAAAAATTTACTCATTAATAAGAAAATATCATCTAATTTATCTAATTAATAAAATAATATTATCTAATTCATTGATAATATATAGAATCTATACACAAACATACATCCAATATAAACCCTATTATCAAAAGGCCTTAAGAGTTGCATTCCCCATTATTTACAAACATATGATATACCCCAAAGCACTAAAAAAAGCCACAATCTAATTGCAAAATGAAGGCATGGGCATGATGAAGGCCTACAACCCTGCACATGTTTTGTCTCCAACACATTGAAAAAGCTTTTAGTTTTATCATCAAAGGTTTTACAATCAGAGTGCACAAACATCTTTTAGCAGCATTTGTGGTGTTTTATTCAGGAAAAAACTATGATGGTGTACAAGAAAAAAAATCTACTAAAAGAAAAAACAAGTTTGATTTGTTTATTGGCTTTCTGGTTGACACTAGAGGCTGAAGGTAATAATTATGCCCTTAGGAATCATAACTTTTCTATGAAACCTCAGATGGTGTTAAATATGTACTTGAAATACAAAAGCCTAGTGCACTGATTAACAGAACTGAGTGATTAGACAGCAGGAGGATGGTCCAAATTAGGTTAATGACTGTGTTAATGATTCTGGTAAATAAAGGAGAAGACTGAAAGAGTTTGCTTGTGAGAATGATGGAATGGAAGGGGACAGAAAGATTGGTGCTTGGATAAAAAGTAAAGGGTTGAGAATAATTTTTAGTGATGTACAGGAGGTGGGAGCATGTGATGCAAAGCTCCCACATGGGGTAGAAAGCACAAGGAAAAAAAAGGTGGGTTGGAGACAGAAGAAGGTTGGAACTTGGAAGGGTGGGGATATTAAAGAATAATGCACTATCTGCACAGTTGCAGCTAAAAATTTAGTGAAAAAAAGCTACCTGTTTTGGTTTGAAAATGAGTTTAATTTCCTCCAATCATGTGGACAAATCATGGTCTTATGAGATAAATGCTCGGTTGGCTTCCAGTAATTTTAAGCAGTTGATTAAATTGCCGAAAGCTGATTCGTTTGTTGACTGATTCCAGGAAGAAGATTTTTTAGAGGAGAAAACGTGGGAGAACTTGCATACTTGAAGCAGATTGGCTAGAAAATGAGGTGGAGACTGGATAGATCAATTAAGAGTATATATGAGGAACCAGGGAGGACCAATTGATACAGATTCTATCATTTTATACATAGTTGGTGTAATCATTCATCTTATTATTTTACTGAGAGGAAAAAAAGAAAACAGGTGCAAGATTTATGTCCTTTGGCTGTAGTTGATGTTCAATTGTTGTTTGAGATTTCCTCCAACCTGCAAGATAGGGAACAGCACTTTTGGTTTTGATGTTTCTCTATCAGGAGCTCACCTTTTTACAGGAGGAACTTGCAATGATCATACAAATTGCATTCCCTTGGTTCATTTCTTTTCTATAAAACCATAGGTAAAATGTTTTTAAGACAACATGAAAAGGCTGATTAATATGCAATGTAAGTCCGTTCCTGAATTACTCGAAGTTTCATACACATATGTACGCCCATTCAATACAATACTCTGAGAATAAAAATGAAATTTCATGTACATTTCAGACACATATACATGTATAGCATTTGGAGCAACGAAATCAGTACTTCTTAGACGGATAATGTACCAACGTCCAATTATTCTTATATATTCACCTTGTGAGCTATGACAAGACATGCAAAGGTGCAATATAGCAACATTACAATATGTGTAGAGAAAACCAAAATCATTGGTTGGACATAAAACAAAATGTGGAAACTACTTCAACAATATTGACTGGTAGAGTGACATGAAAGTATATACAAGACAACTCAACTGTATTTCAAAGTGCTGCTTTTACAGTCAAGATGTGAAATTATTGATAACAGTGACAAAGGAATGTGTATTTTAGAACCCTTTTCAAGGTTGGTAAGATGGAATGATCATTTTAAATTGAGGAAATCTCAAAGGGTAACAAGTTTTACTCAGTGGGGCTTTCTTTAGTTGCTTGGTCTGCCTCCAATCTAACGGTCGAATTGGAAAAAATCCAATGAATGGTGAGTTAGGTTGAGGAAAAGGAAACTTGGGGTTAGGGTTTTTGCATCAGGCTTTTTTTTTTTTCTCTTTTCCCCTGTTTCCCCTTGCTCATTCCTTGTGAATGAAGGTGTTAGACATGTGGCTGAAAGAATTGGTTCAATGACAAGTTTGCTTAACTTACAGTCTACCGCATCAACAAAAGGCAAGCAAGCCAAGCAAAGGGTCTGCAATTTTCCTTTTTGAATAATGATAAATGTCTCAATTGTTAGCTAAATAGGGTCATTTGTTATGACTTAATCCTATAAACAATAAAAGTCCAACTAAAAATAAATAAATAGGATTCTTCCGAAACCCTTGTCCATAAAAAAATCATTGTCAACCATTTTTATTACCAGTGAACTGATGTGAAATATTCCTCATATTCTGTCTTTCAAGAAACGGCACTCGTCAGTTGGTGCTATTATTCTAAGGGAAATAGATATATTGTTGACATTATTTTTCAGCTACGGCCCATTAGAGCAGGACAGATCATGCTCCCTTTGGGATGGTGGGGAAATCCTATCAGTCCCTTATCAAGGCTTTGTTTTCTATTTTTTTATGCATTTGATGAAAGCAAGTTTTTACTAAAAGAGGGCAAAGTATTGCGGCAACTCTTTCTTAGCATGATGGTAAGAGTTCTTGATTTCTAAGTAAACACCTTATACCAAAAAATGAGAGCTTAAAGTCACAAATTTCATAGTTTTGAATGGAACTAGTTTTCTTTTTAACATCAAGCATAAGCATAATTAAGCAATGATAGATATTCTTCCACTTGAGCTCAATCTTAAGCTTTTCTTTTTGATACTATTTTGATACTTTGCTAGTACTTGTTTGAGTACAAATTTGTGAAACTTATTAACGACTCAGCGATGCAACAATCACCAGCAGTTAGCTGGAATTATACCTTTGAATAAGGTGTGTTGGAGGAGTCTTAACTAAAGAGTTTAATAAAGATTTTTACAAATCAAGTTTTGACTTTGAAAGCGACTATTTGCATTTCACATTCTTCTCTTCACACTCTAACTTCTGTTTAATTTTTTTTGCAAATAAAATTACTTAATTATTATTTTTAAAAAAATTTAAAAATAAATTATAAAAAATTTTAAAAGTTTTTAAAAAGTTTTAAAAGCTTTCAAAAATAAATTTATAAAAATTCTTAAAAACTTTGGAAAATTCATTTTTAAAAACTTTTAAAACTTTTTGAAAAACTATTTTCGGAATGTTTAAAATGCATCAAAACATTTTAATAAGAAATCTTACGAAATTAAATACAAGATCAAATGAAAAAGTAAAAAGAACAAATGATTTAAAGTTCTTAAAGGTAAAATTTTTTTTTTTAAATTTCACTCATTTGAAGTTAAAAAAAAAAGTATAAAATCAAATGTAAATCATTTAATTTTTTTATTTTTTTGTTTAATTTCATTTATAATTTTGTAAAATTTCATGTTAAAAAGTTTTGATACAATTTAAAATTTTTTG